ATATATATATATATATATATCAGCTATATATTATACAATAATCTAACTTTAGTAAATATGTCTGAAAGTACTACTCCATAGGATCTACATGAAGCAAATACAGTTGTAGTACATTGGTATATTATGCAGAATTGCAGCTTTGAACTCAATTCTAGATAATTTTTTCATACATCAAATAGTATATTGTAATTAAATATACTGTTTATCAATATTAACAAATTATAAAATGCATGTCTATAATATAAATTTGCGAAAATGTTAAGTAATTAATGATTGGTGATTGATTATCTGGATTACGTTGTGATATTATATGATCATAAAAAATAAATTAGGTAATTACAATATTATGAGAGCTAACTTTATAATTTACCTAATCAAGCTAATTTTTTAAAAACTATTTATCATCTTAACACAAAAGTAGAAACAGTCTCATGAAAAATGGAGAAATTGATCAAAAATATAATATACTTCTGTTTGATATTTTCATGCAGGCTATTACATTTTCTTGATAAATTGTCTCATAAATTAATAAATATTTTAATTTTGCTGTTATATAATATGCTTGAAATCACTATTATACTATTTATTTTATGTCAATTATTCAAATGCATTTTATTTCATGATGACTCAGAAGCAGCTTGAGAAATTATTATGAAAATCAATAACAATTATTGGCAAAATGAAAGTATTTACTAACTTTTAAGGCAACTTCCTGAAAAATACTAAATGTTCTAAATTGTAAATATTAATTAATAATTATTGAATACAACGTAGAACATTTATGGATATGTTATATTGTTATTATTTATAAATTCATTAGAGAGATGCTTTGTCAAAGCAGCTCAAAAGGAACATAAAATGGAGCAGACATGATATAAATATGTCATGTCTGTTCCATTTTATGTAAAAACCACACACTATGATTTAAATGATGTGTTTTGAATAATTTAATGTACTTTTTAAAAAATTGTAATTCGAATGGTATATGGTCAACCTGAGGAATGTTGAAATGACATTTTTGAAATGTTGAAAGTACTCATTTTTAGTTAAATACTTTGCAAATAAACAATTTTAATCTCAATAGTTTGCTTTAGTCTTATTAACTGTTATTTTCAGCTCATTTAGCTTTATTTAGTTCTCTATTCCAAATCTATTCTTAAATTTTTTAAGACAAGCATTTATGAAAATCTAAAGTAAAGTAAAAATAAAGTGACAATGATTATTGTTTTATAAAAATTTTACTTGAAAAGTTTCATAAAAGATCTTAAATCAGATTGTACCTTGACAAACACTTCATACTAACAAAAAATTTGCTTTTAACTTTTAAACATTTCCTACTGTAGATGGTCATGGAAGTCATACTATTATACACATTGTCATTGTTTGTTTGTCATTTTTATTTTTTAATATAGTATGTAGATTTTTTAAGAATAATATCTTTCAATGGGAAAAACACAGCAACAGTGAGTATAATACTATGGCTTCTTAACAACCTACAATAAAAGCTGTTTGAAAGTTAGTCAAGTTCCCTTTTTATTTGAAATAGTTGTAATAATTCAATCTGTTTTGGAATATTTTTTAAAAAACTTCAAGTTTTTTATAAAATAAAAATATCTTGTTAATTCGGAAGTTCTTTTGAGGTTGAATAATGATTTGCAGAATGCAATTCAAAAACGAATATGTCCGTATATGCTAAATTAAGACGTTAAATTTAATATCATTATTATTAATGACATTAATATGATTTTCAAAATTATACAATACTAATGTTTTAATTCCTGAAGATAAGGAAAATTCAAATTACAAAATTATGAGACTGTCATTTACAAAACAGTTCTTATTTTAATTATATTCTTATTCAAGTGTAGTTTTAGCAATGCAATAAATTATACGTATATGATATCATTGTTATAACTTATAACTTTAATATACATTACTTCCAAGTGTTATGTGCCATTTTAAATAATTACTAATCAAATATATAATTAATTGCACTATAACAAAAGCAGATTGTAAATAATCAATTTTTAACATACATTTTCTAAATCTTCAGGCAGAACAGGAACTAAAAGACTTGGAAATATATAACATGTTATGCCATTCATGCTAAATTATATTCACCACTTACTACAGAAGATAAAAACTATGGTCCACATCTCAACAGTTTTTAATTGTGTGCTTTGAAATGAAAATTAGTTTATCAATAACTAGTCTTATTATATACAGTGCACTCTTGCTAGTCCAGTCTAATTTTATTCATATTTTCCATTAAATGTTTCAGCCAAAATCAAAAAGAAATCATAAATTATTTTTTAAAACATGGGGAATTTATGAAATTAATTTTTACTGTACATTTTAACAAAAATGTGTGTACTGTATATATAGTACAATTTTTTAAAAACATATGTATTTGTTTATAGTTCTGTTTGACTTCCTGTTATATATAACCCTACTAATCCCTATAAATCCATACAATAATTGGATTAGCAAGACTACATTTTAGTGTAGTATTATAAAATTGAAGTTTTCTTTAACCTTTTAACCATTAAAAGATTTTAAACCTTCTTATAATTAGATTGTGATTGTCATTATCAGGTTTAATATTATTAATATAATGTAATCATACATTAAAGTATATTGTTATTATATTTATTTTTAACTTTCATTTATTTATTTATTTTTTAAGAAACTAAAGGCTTTGACAGATAAATTAAAACAAGATCCTGAATTTTCATGTAAACATGGAGCACAAGAAATTAATCGTTGCAAGAATAGATATAAAGACATTTTACCATGTAAGTAAAATTTACAGATATTACTTTTTAAAAATTTATAGTTTTCAAATTGAAGCTTATTTTATTAAATCAAGATGTCTGTTCTAATTTCTTGATTGCTCATTTATGTATGTTAATAGTTTAGGATCCTAACATTTCAATTATTACTTTATTGTAGTTAAAATGGATTTCATCTGTATTCAAATAATTTAATGATTATGCATATTATTAAATTCTTACATAAAGAATTTATTCTAGATGACATTACAAGGGTTATTCTTACGGAAGATTCTGAAATACCTGGTTCAGATTATATAAATGCAAATTACATAAAGGTAATTCTTTATTTTTAAATTTTAGGTAGGCTTTTATTAAATTAATAAAATATTAATGTGAATAATGCAGTTATAATGTAATATAACTCACTTTAAATTGGATGTACAGAATTCAGAATGTATGCACTAGGATTTGACATATGCAAGAGATTAAAATGCTAAAATTTTCATTAGAATACCAAAACAAAATTTTCATTTTTCCTGTCAAATTATTTTGATAATTAATTGATTTCATTATTATATGAATGTTTAGTTAAAGACATATAGACATCATTTCAAACTATGTCATTGTTGTTTATTGTTATGAACAGATAGTATCTGTAAATAATAATTTCCATCGCTCTCTTCTCTGTGGATAAAAGGCCGAAACACCCCCAAGAAGGTACAGATGGTAACAAGGAAGACGTTCGTATAACACTAGTTCCGATTTTAGAAAATCTTTGTGTTTTTAATTGGAAATCTTTTTGTGTTTTTAATTGGACTTTTTTAAACTTTTTGGCGGCTAGTAGCCTAGAAAGGAAGGTCGGTCGCCGGAAATGTACTGTCTAGAATGCAAAAGTAAAAAATGGTGATCCCTATTTGGGCTAACTTGTCTTCAAATATTAAAAAATAATAAACAAGTTATACCTAAAATAATTTGTTGATTTTCTACTTAAATTGATAATAAATTGTGATTATTCTTAAAATCAAAATATCTTGATTGAATTTTTTATAAATGTACAAAGTGATTCATTTTGATCAGTCTCTGAAATAACACAATAAATACATGTCCTACCAAAAAAAAATCATTGTACTAAAAATGTTAGACTTTAAGAGGGCCACATGATTGGATTATAGCAGGGGTTCCCTAAGTGTGTGCCAGGGTGCCATAAAGAGTAAACAGGGGCGCCATGAGGGCTTTGAAGCTAATGTAACTTCTTATCTAGACTAGATCATTCCTGTAACTTGTAGAACTTTCTAGAAGACTTATATAGCATACTATCAGACATTGTCAAAGTTTCGCAAAAGTTCTAAGTAGATGGCATGGCTAGTATAAATACGGCACTACTTCGGCGAACCAGTTCAGTTTCTAAATAACGATCAAAGAGTAAACATCTGAGAAGAAAAGTAAACGGTTTTAAGACGCCTGCTACCAGAGGAGCACCCACTTTGTTTCAGTGTGTTGCTTTGTATTTTCATGTAGTTGTAGGAAAATGGAAAGATTTTTATTAAATAAGCAAGTCGATAGTTCAAGTGAGAGTGATCAAGCATCGACAAGTTGTCAGGTAGTAAAGAAATGGAAATATCAATGTTTTTTAAAAATCAATGTAATGTGGTAAAAGCATTTTTCTTCTTAATGAAATGGAAATATTGTAAACATGATTATAACTATAGTAGAGCATCGATTATCTGACCCCCGATCAATCATCACATCGGTTAACCGACCACATTCTAGTCAGCAAATTCAAATGTCTGCTAGTGATGTGGTGCTACAATATTTGGCTATGTCTTGGCTACTTTAATATTATTTTTGTTAAATTTTTGCTGTTTTAGCTGGCAACAGTGGCTCGACCATGAAAGGGAGGCCAGTATTTAAACGAGACTTAATTTTCTAATTATGAGTGGTGGCTTGTTTTGTGAGCAATAAAATAATTTTTAAAAAATTTTTGTTAGGCTTAACATTGACGAAAATTCAACTCAAAGTAGGTTAATAGCGATATACTAATATACTATACTAATAATGTATTTTTTCATACTTTTCAGTTATCCATTTTTTCAGTTATCTGACCAACCGCAGTCCCCAATTGAGTCAGATAATTGATGCTCTACTGTATTTGAATTTTGTCTTTACTTCAGTAGAAGTAAACAATGAAGAGAGACCACAGTGTGCTCTGTTTAAAAGTTCTAGTGCCCAAGTGTATGCTCCCAAGTAAGCTAAAGTGACATTGAGAGACCAATCACTCTAACATGGTTGAAAAATCTCACGAATTCTTTAGTAGGAAGTTGCAAGATTTATGAAAGGAAAAAAGTGTGTTTACTAAACAAGCCTCAGTACTAAGCAATGCACTGCTAGCATCTTTTAAGGTCGCATACAGAGTGGCAAAGTACAAAAAACCTTACACCATCACAGAAGAGCTTATTATACCTGCTGCTCTTGACATAGTTAATATTATGCTGGGAAAATTGGCGGAAAAATTAATTTCAAAGGTACCTGACATAGTTAATATTATGCTGGGAGAATTGGTGGAAAAATTAATTTTAAAGGTACCTTTGTCAAACAACACTATTAGTCGAAGAATCCATCATATAGCTCTAGATCTCAATGACCAATTAATAGAGAAAATGAAAGGCATGGAATTTGGTCTGCAACTTGATGAGGCTATTGACAGTAACAAAGATGCACATCTTATTTGTTATGTACACTTCCTGGATGATGATAATATCATTGAAGACCTCCTGTTCTGCAAAAGCGTCATTGGAAGAGCAAAGGCTCAAGACTTATTTGAGATGCTTGACAAGTTTATAACTGAAAATGATTTGAATTGGGAAAAGTGCATCAGTATATGTACTGATGGAGCTCGATCTATGTCTGGTTGCTATGGAGGATTGTAGGCACTTATTCTCATCAAAGCATCACATGCTATGTGGACCCATTGCATCATCCATAGGGAAGCATTTGCATCAAAGTTGATGAGCTCTCAATTGAATTTGATATTAGAACGTGTTGTAGACATAGTAAACTACATAAAAACTAGATCACCGAAAGCCAGATTTTTCAAACAGCTATGCGTGGGAGCTGAACACATGTCACTGCTATTCTACTGCAGTTCATGATGGCTTTCATGTGGCAACATCTTATCACGTGCATTCGAGTTACATTAAAAAACTCACACTTTTTTACAAGAGGAAGGTCATGAAAACTCCAGGTACTTTGCTGAACCTGACCTTTTGCTGAAACTAGCGTATTTGTTCAATATATTTGACAATCTGAATGCTTTCAATCTGTCTCTGCAAGGCATTTTGAAAATTTTAGAGAAGGTTGCAGCGTTTAGGAAAAAGGTGCAGTTGTGGATAAGGGAAATTAATGAGGATGGTGTTCAATATTGTTTCCTTGAATTGCACAAATATGTGGCCTGTAATAAAGTCATTGTTTCACAAGACTTGCTGTTCCTTTTCAAGGAACATCTCTCATAGCTCAGTGACTGGTTTGCAAAATACTTTGAGGAAGACAATGTTGAGAAATTTGCATGGATCCAAGATCCTTTCTGCACACAAGTTTTGCCAGAATTCACTTTGTAGGAAGAAGAGAGTCTAATCGAACTCTCTTGCAACAACAGCCTGAAAACAAAATTTGCTTTTTCCGATTTAGTGAAGTTTTGGATATCAATCAAAAATGAATATCCAAATATGAGTTCAAAAGCTGTAAGGAACTTCATTCCCTTTGCGACAATATATTTATACAAAGCCAAATTTTCAGCTCTAGCTATAATAAAAAGCGAATATCATTCAAAAATTGGTGTGGAGCAAGAAATGAGAGTGGAAGTGTCAAACCTTATTCTGTGTTTTGAAAAAATGTGTGGCAATCAGCAAGCTCACCTGTCACATTAACTTACTTGTCGTTGAAGATTTTCACCATTTATTTCATATTTTTTTTGTATTTTCATATTTTAGTTTGATGGTTATTGTGATTCAATTTTAATAAATGTGAGCTTCACATTGTGAGGTTTATGTTAAGAGTTGTTTTCATTTCTGTGCCTGATTTATGTCATTGTACACATATTTTGACAAGGGTGCCGGGACAAAATACTAAACCTGTAAGTGCTGCAGACTGATAAAGTTTGGGAACCACTGGGCTATAGGTTTTATATTAGATGGCACTAGAATTGGTGAAAATAGCATCAACTTCATTTTCTTAAATGAGAACTCTCATTTTTTTTATTGCATATTTTGATTCTACATCAAAAACAAACATTTATCTAAAACATTTTTTCAAAAGATGCACTCATCAGAACTTGTGAATGCTTGAAGTTTTGTGTGGCTGCCACACAGTGCATGCATGAATCTATGGATATCTGTGAAGTTCAAAAAAAGGAAGAAAAATGCTTAAAAATTTATTAGGAAACTATTATTATTTGGTGGAATCAAGCTTAATGTAAATAAAAAACATTTGTTCATATATATCTTATATTATTTTTAATATGCAGTTGCTTCTCATACATGTATCCAATACAGTAGAGTCTCGAAAACTCGGCACTCGATAACCCGGCAGTCTGGATAACTCGGCCACACCCTGGCAGGGCAAAAAAAATCCTTAGTTAATTAATTTTCATTATAGACAGCTTTATGCCTCATAAAGTATTTTTCTGAGGTCTGTCTTATCAGGTAAATTACTGTACACAGTGTATTCATTAATTTTCATTTTCATGTAGTAAAGGCTCTATGCCTTCATAAAGGACGTACTTTTCCTTTGTTTAAGGGTATTTGGGCAGTTTATTCTCTGTTGTATTCTCAAGTAAACAATACATACAAGTACAGTACAGTATTTTCTGAGGAAACACTCATACTTAATTTTTTAACCCATTCCCGATAACCTGGCATTTTCACAAACTCGGCCACCCTTCGGTCCACATTAGGCCGAGTTTTCGAGACTCTACTGTATAACCTGTTCATTACAATTTTGTAAGAAATTGTTCATTTATTAGAAAACTACCTAATGGAAGATTTCACCAAATCTCAACAAATACCATAGTGTAGAGAGCCCTGTTGCCGAGTGCCATGGGCAGTGATGTACTGTAAGATTAAAGCTAAACCTTATAAAGCTTCCTTAGAGTAGTATTCTTTTACACAGATGCTGCTCTAAAAGTGCTGCCAACACAGCACTTGCTTAAATGAACTGCTCTGTTAACCAGTGTCTCACTACTATAAAACCCGAGGGAGATTATTTGAAATATGAGACTGCTCTCTTAAGTAAACTGATCCCTTACAATGAGCTTTCTTAAGTGGACTTAATTGTATATAAAAAATATAGATGTTATCCCATTCATGTATGCCTTATAACAAACTATAATTTAATGCATTTTTGTTAAAATTTACTAAAGTTTTAAACTAAAAAGTCATTTATTTCTTTCATTTAATTTTTTCAATCTATTGCCCATTTTTCATTTGGATTAATTCATTAATTTTTATATGATAAGAAAAATATTATTTTTAAATATTTTAAAATGGTCTTAAATCTAATAATTCATCGTTTATTGTCATCATCAGCAAATAACTCGAAAGAAATATCTTAGTTTATTATCAACAAATATTGCCTGCAATATGACAATGGCTGTTTATAACATTATAGTATCAGTATATTATATAGTTCAGTGGTTCTCAACCTTTTTTGTTGATGTACCCCATTTTCCCATTAGTTGTTTCTCAAGTACTCTTATATTTTTGTATGTAAATTTTATAATTACTGCGTTAGATGTATACAGTCCTTATAATTGAGCACCATTAAAAAAACTCTAATTAATTAACTATAACTAAAAGTGAATTACTTATTTTACATAGATAATAATAAATTTAATCAGGTACATACATTTATTTATTATTATTTGATAAGTATATTACATAAAATCACAGAAGTCATTTCAATACATGCATAAATTACATTTCCTAAAAATAAATAATTATAATTAACAATAAAGAAAATTTAAATTATTCTACAATAATTTCTAACAAAATTTAATGGGATATTTGTTGCGATAAATCTT